AAATACATTTTCCAGTTCCTGAACCTTCAACGGAATCTAGTAGTAAAGTACAGGGGTGCGAATTGAATTCAAAGCGTTATAGTGTATTTCTTGTTCTGTTTCATCAAATCGAAGGATAAAGACATGGTATTTTCTCAACAACTTATTAAGCTATTGTGTCAAGTATCATGAAGTTCAGTCAAGGTCACTCACCTGTCGTAGGACATGAATTCGGTGACAATCGCAACAATTNGTCGTGTGTTTGATTGCGCACTAGCCGGTGTTTGTTGACGCGAAGCTTGCATACTCAGTGTCCGCTCTTGTTCCATTGGATCCTCCCGTACCGGTGAGATACGCCGAGAAGGCTCGGGAGATTTATAAATGGGACGACTCGCCGCAACCGGGACTGAGATCTGCGTTTGAGGCGATGGATTCATTCCACTTCGATCGATCGCGACGCGTGACTGACTACCCATGCGTTGCATTAAACCGGCCGAATAGAACTCGCTACTGGTCAAGTCACTGCCGGCACCAAGTATGCTCCCATCGTGATCCTCGTTGGGATAATCATGCGAATTCATATGTAGGCTCGCTCGATCTGGAAGGACAACAATAACAGTGTATATGTATACATTTATCCCAGGTCATCATCAGAAAAAAATTATTTGAGTCATGCCAGCAGAAAGTGTAAAACACTGAGACCTCGAAAATCTGTCGAGGTATATAAAACTCCACAGAAACGCACATTATCGATAATTTTTTTCGTCGCTATTAACGAACAGACATAGATGGTAATCACGCCAATGGTTCACTTCGGATTTAAACAACATGATTTAGCAGAAAATGTAAATTTCATGAAAGTAATCTCGAAAAGAAACAACGAAACTTGAGGAATCGCAGTTTGAATGCCGTCGTACCCGGAGTAGAAGAAACATTTACAGAAAATTCGGAAAGCAGTGTGCATCTACTTTTGGCATGTTGAGTATCAGCACCAATCAGTGAATGCATCTCTAACCGACAGAGGACCGCATTTGAAATCTTCTAAGAAGAACGCGATGTTACTTTTCAGTTGACTAGCAGATAGTCAATCATTCTGGTTTTACTGAGTCGATACACGATATAGCACAAACCATCCTATTCTTGTCGATGATAACCAGCAGTGCATTTCAGCTTTTCCGTTCCCAGATCCTTTGTTTATGCAGAAGATAAAAATTCATCGGACGATGAAAATAAATCACTCACTACACCCTGAAACCATAGAAACAAAGTGAAGAGAGTCAGAAAAAAAAATCGAACTAGCTGACTTAGTAGGAGACGGTGATGAGTCGTACGTAAATCACAGGTAGGCAGAAGAATCGTAAATGCTGTTGTGAATGTTGCTAACAGAATTACGGTTGAGAAAAATAAATTGTACTTCGTTGTAATCAAAACTAAACAGTTTGCAGGTTTATCGGGTAGTCTAGTAGTTTGCAGCAATTTTATTGGAGCACACCAGTCCCTGAAATGAAGTTTTAGTCCAGTGGCTTTAAACTAATTTTGGTCATTTATAGCTCTATTGCTTGACTAATGTTACACCTATCTCACTGAGATTTTATACGGTCAGTCACCCGAGCTGACGGTTATCATCAGTGGACAGAAGACCTACCTATAGGATTGGCTCCTGCTGTACATCAACCTCGGGATACAATCAGGAAACATTACGATCGTTTGTTTTGGTAATACACCCCACCAACAGATCAGCGATGAAACATAGCTAATGATATTTTTTGTAGTCAATATATCAGTCGAAAGTTTTACACCATCCACAACGGCGTCAAAACAATCATCACACTATTGTTTGCTTAATAGTGTCCCTGGGAAAAACGCAGTGACTGGAAAAAAGATCGATAAGATTAGGGTGTGGTTGAATACTTCGTAACAAGGATACCTGNATGAATCACTTGGTCTTTTGTTCGTGTGGTATAACGTTCCGAAGCGCTCTGGTGATAGATGGAGTTTATTTGGGTCGATTTATGTCAGTCAAACAATCGACCTAATTACTCGTATTGGATAGAGTTTGATGCACCATAAAGGTTAGCATGACCAAAGACTAATTTACACTTAACTTCATTTCTTCAACATCAAGTCCTTTTAGGCAATGGGCCGTAGACAGAAAACCGCTCATTGCATAACTGGTGCGCGGCTTTCAACCTTAACAATGGCAAATATGGAGAAATCTTCCTTTCTTTCTAAAAAGGGCCTGATTATATGCTGGGTACACTGGGAAAGCTACCAGTAGGACTCTCTGGGTTTTCGTTAGTTTTTAGACTCAAGCAAACGCATTTGAGTGTGAAAAAATTAATCCCAATGAAACTACTACCGATCATGCTTATGAAATCATTCCAAAAGGAACACATGGTATTCTCCTAAAACTCAAACCAAAACAGAGTGGGCCGATTTATTTCTCGTTGATCCAACGAAAAATCTTGAATATTAGGAACTATTGACCAGTTATGTTTATTCGCTACTATCAATTATTGCACAGTTTGAGTGTGGTTTCTCATCAAAACCCGAAGAACTGGGATTTGAGTCACCGTAGGGATACAAAAGTAGATACCATTTAGAAACCGCAGTCTAGTGCTCTTATTCGGTCAGCACGTAAATATTCGAACACATAAAATTTCTGGATTGCAGCTCGGCAATTAAAAGAAAAAACAGGACAAGCTTGTCATTTTATTTCAGCGAGAATCCGATAAAAATATTCCGCTAAATGATCATAACTCATGCTTTATCGAGTCCAATCTTTTGATTTAGGACTTTAAAGACGGATTTAAACACTTGGGTTACGTAAAGAGAAGTAAGGAGACGGTTTTCGGTTACGTCCAAAATTTTGTTTTTCACATCACGGCTTTACGCGTATTTAAGTACTAAATAATCATTTGTGCTTCTCGGGTTTATCAACCATAAAACTTCTTTTTAAAGAGTACACGTGGCGAAAACCACTAGGAAGATACNAAGATACTCACCAGATTTGTAAACCAAATGAGCAAATCGATCTGGAACCGCTTCTGTGTTTTTGACAAACATTTATCCAGACATTCAGATATTGCTCACCATGAAATTTACGCGTATACAGAAACACATCGATGTTCCTGTAAATCATTCTTATTCATCTACCAATCTATATTTGCTTATAAACAGCATTTGTTTAAGTTATTCAACTATCCAGTGAAGAAAAGATTCACCTACTTGTCGGATCAAAAACGCTGCCCATTGACCGAGACAACGATGGATCATTATTTGGCATTCCAGAGAGGCGCCGGGTGGAAACTGCAGCAGCAGCAGATAAAAGGTCTTTACCATGATGCTTTTTGAAAAGACGATGCTTCTTTTTCTCTTTTTCTCCTTGAACAGATCCCACGCTAAGCACACTGCCACTGTAGTTCAGTGAGTCGGCCATTGACGATGCTCTTTTGTGCTTGGAGCTAAAATAAAAAAATTTTAAAAGTAATGAATGGACCAGGCAATAAAAAGATAAAAGAGAGAAGATAAACAGAACCTTGTCTAAGTTAATCCTGACATTCTTTTGATCTTATACTTATGTTTCTTCCATTTCCTAGACACTGTTTTAACGCAATCGGTTTCAATTCAGACCAGCGTGAAATATGTACTTCGCGAATGTGACCACCTCGCGTCCCATTAAAATGGCCACAATAGCTGATGCGGAACATTGGGAAATTCGGTGTCAAAATTATCGATTATTAATATACAGTAGAGTTTCTTCTCACTACGCTTGTGCACAATGATCTTTAGTATTCTGTTGATGCGTGAAATATAATATGGTGTGCTCATGCCGATGCATCTCCTTTTATTACGCCACCGAAAATAGTGACCATCTTGGAAAGGCTGCAGACATCGGTCGATATCTTTGAACTCAGAAATATGCACTTCTGACTTGACGCTTATTGGCACTTCATGAAAAATAAGACCAGAGTAAGGATGTTCATCTGCTACGCTAAATGCAACCCGAGTCACCTCACATTTTTCCCTGGAAGCACACGACCGGTCTCGCAGTTCTTACCGCTCGCCAGGCATGCGTATTCAGTAAGCATTTATATTTTGTTATTCATATACCTGTACCCAGGAAATGTATTTTCGTCATAATAACCTCATTTGCGGGTAAATTTGTTTGGACACCTCATTTTTGTTGCGGTTAGTAGCATCTAACCCACAAAGAAAATATCGAATTATAATATTGAAAGAGCTGTCCAAACAAACCCAGTTTTGCAAATATATATGGAGTTACAGACATTAATAATTCCAGTGTATGAAAGTCTTAGTTATTCACTAAAGCCCTCAAAATACATGTAAAATAACTTCACCTTTCGATTACGCGCTTCATACCACCCAGGATGGTATGCAAACAGAGCGCAACACAACGGACGATTTTTGCCATGAACTGTACCTATTTCCCCAACGTAGCTTTGCTACTACAAGGCATTTACACTGAAACCAATCCGAACAAGGCCACTAACCTAGTCGTTGTTAACCCTCTTTCCACTTCACATCCTCAAATGTGTGAACATCGACGGTCGAGAATCTACGGTTGGGCAATTTTTCTACCTCTACTCTGTCATCAAAATGGGTAGTCAAGACCACCGTGCAAAAAGGCATACGTAGTGGTGGTGTAAATCGGAAGTGTCCACAGGCATGCTTAAAGTTATGAATTCGTGAGGTACGGCTGACCGCACTGATTATTTATGTTCAAAAATACGCTCAACAAGGGTTGTATCCTATTAAATTCTCAGGTATGCATCTGGATGTCTCTTTTGCAATACGTCCGTCATTACCACATAATAGCCAATGTCAGAGTAATGAGCAATTATAGTTAATTCCAATCTGTCGAAATTCAAAATACGCGTAACTGACACTGAACCCTCCTGAACGTGGTAGTGGTTACCGACTCGATTGGGCACCTTGGACGTTTGATCCCGTCCAAAGGGCGTATGATTCGATGAACTGAATAGCGGCCCCTCATGGAGTGCGATTTCACAGACTGCCCCGCTGCCTTGTGGATCAGCCTTTGACTAGCCGAAGGCTCCGGTTGTGAATTCTTTGAGAAAATTTACCTGCCTTGGCCCGGGCACCCTGGTAATATCGCACCCACGAGCAAATCATGGGTTTCTTTCTTTTATAAAGATGAATGTACCCTAATTTGTTTGGCACAGTTTGAACTCTGAACTAAACCTCGCCAGTTCCGCGGTCAAGAGCACCAATTCATTACTGGTATCAATTAGCTAGCTAAATTCAACGACTTTTGACGGAATGCAGCATACTACTGCCGAAGAATGTTTTACCCAATCGGATAGCGAAAATTTTCCGCAAAGAAGCTCGATTTTGTAAAATCATCATCATAATCGTACCGCGAGATACAGTGGAACGAACTTCACTGATCAAAGCCAAGTTCTCAATGTTCAAAAAGTAAATGAGAAAAAAATGTGGGCATGGGTTGTGCCCAGCTAGAGAGAGGTAAATAAAGTAAACATCTATGGTCAACACAGAGTGCAAAATCTAACTGGGCATATATCCTATTTCAAGCATTCCGAACAGTTAAGAAATGACAACCAGAACGCCACTGCTGTCGGTTAGTCGCCATATCATTAAGTGTCTCCAATCAACCACTTACAGAGTCTTTCGGACCCCAATCTGGAAGGCGGGAGACACTGACTTTGCCTAATCGCTCCGTACATCTCTTCATGCCAAGCGCCCATGTCATTTATTGACCTCCACGTGGTTTCCTCCAACTTAGAGCCCCAACTGCAAATAAGATGCGGTGCGGTAGACGATACCTGGGCGTACACAATACGTGTCCTTGCCAGTGAAACCTAATGGTCTGAATTACACGTGATAAAGAACTTCCAACAAATCATATGCAACGGCTCACCTCAGAGTTGCCTACACGCTCGCTCTATTCAACCAGCGTAAACATCGACGATCGAAGACTTATACGCGCAAAGTTAGGGTACAGCAACCAGAACTGAGCGCATACTGGAGCGGTATGCGCGATCTTTCAGTTTCAACGAAACCACATCTGAACCAAAGATGTTTCAGTGCTGCTTACGCTGCTCGTGCCTTGGAAGTGTCAGCACTTACTCCCTTGACTAAGTGACCAGCATTTGTCCAGCAACTACCTAAGTGGGATAAAATATCCATTATAACTAATTATTTACGATCAAGCATCAGCGCCGGGGTAGACGACACCCAGCCTCATACCATCGCTTTGCACTTCGAAGATACACAGCGCATACCAAATGGAGTTACAGAACTGGAAAGCTTGTTACGAGCGCTTTGAGCACCCTGCATACATTCAAACAGACAAGCAATGTCGTCAGCGTACTCTAAATCGCACAGCTTCTCTCCAGCTGTTCATTCAATAACAACAATGTGGAGTCCACTTGGTGCGTTCTCCAGTACTTCGTATACGACGAAGTGGAGTAGAAATGGCGAAATAGAGCACCTGTGACGAACACCGCTCCTGTTTGCGAACGACTTGCTTATTCGACCTTGGACCCTTACGCTGAAGAAGTATGCGGATACAGTGATTGCAACAGGTCTACATATTTCTGTGGCATTCCTTTGCGAAGCAGTGCACCCATTAGGGATTCACGTTTAACTAAATTAAAGGCTCCTTTCGGGTCAAGAAACACTGCAATAGTTGGTCGACGATCTCTGTGTCGCAATTCAAGGACTTGAAGCAGGGTGAAGATTTAGTCGATGCAACCATGAATGGCTGGAATCCTGCTTGCTGTGCTCAGTGATCGATATGCGACGACCTCCGATGCTGTGTATCAGGTGAAACAGTTTATGACCACTATCTGACGTGGAAGCTACTTCTATTTCAGTGTTTGTTTTGGCCCACCAGTTTTCGCGATCTTTCTTAAGGCTTTTCCTGAGCTGACGGTGAAGACGCTGGTTTTTATGTTAGTCCTCGCAGATTGTTCCACTAGGATTACGGACTCCTGAGAGAACCAATGCCTTTAACGAACTTCCGACTTGGCCCCACGAGCGAAGTTCGCTGTCGAATGCATCGCACATCCAATTTAACCCCACAGTTGATCTACTTCACCATGTCACAGAGCTCCCAGATCCTGTCCAAGTTCCCGCTTATAACGTTTGCAAGAGTCGGATCGCGCGAATGATGACCTGACTGAGGAGACTTTTGTCGATGACCGATAAGTTGAAGCGTGGAGTGAATCAGAACCAGAGTGTGATCAGACTCAACGCAGGTGGTCTAATAGGATCTGCAATTTTGTACTGAGCCACATCAGCGGTAGCTTACAGCTATGTGGTCAATTTGGGTCAACTTACCCGTTTAACTCGAACACCATGTTGCCGTCCGTCGTAAACTGTATCGAAAGTTGGTGCTGGATAAGAACAGCTGATGATCCGCACAGAAGTGAAGCACTAAATAACCGTTGTCTGTTGGCTGGACAAGAAGGGTGTACCGCCCCCTCGATAGGTTTCGGATGCGCTCAGTTTTCGAACCTGCACATTAGAATCATCTTCCAGCACCATGATATCGGAGCTGCGGATCGATCGGATGAGCTCAGTCAGCTTGTCGTAGTATTCATCTTTTTGTGAATTGGGTCTGCAGTTGGTTCGTGCATGTGCCGATAGGATGAACAAGCACTTTTTGGTAATGATGTCCTCTCGGTATGCGTCTTGCGCCTTCTAAGTGTAAAATGCGGCTCCAAGATTGTGTTGTCCCAGTCCCGAGCCTCACGCTAACCGGGGAAGTTGTAGAGAAAGTGGACAAGTCTTGCTATCTGAGCAGATATATCTCCCCTGGCGAACGCATCACAGTTGAAGTGTCGGCGCGTATACAGAAAGCTCGGTTGGCATTTGCCAACTTGAGACATCTATGGCGCCGTCGCGACATCCGATTGTCTTTGAAGGGTCCAGTATATGCTGCACCAGTTCGGTCAGTTCTGCTTTACGGTGCAGAGACTTGACCATTAAGGGAACAGGATAAAAATAGATTGTCGGTGTTCAAACATCGCTGTCTACGAAGCATTACAAGAGTCTGGTGGAGAAATCGGACGAGCAATGCCGAGGTTAGGCGTAGAGTTTCGGGTAATCGCGGTCGTCCACTGGAACAGGTAGTCGACCTCCATAGATTACGCTGGTTGGGGCATGTGTTACGCATGTCACCAGATGGGTTGCCACGGCGACCGATGCTTGTCGAGGCAGGTGGCGGTTGGAAAAAAATGAAGGGCGGTCAAGCTGAGACCTGGCATGAGGGTATGAAAACCCTGACCAGGAGACTGGCTAACATAGGTCCCGTTGGGCTCCCTGGCTGGAGACCCAGAGATTATGGTCACCAATGGTTAGAGACACTGAGCGATCTGGCTGGGTGTCACAAACAGTGGCGCTCATGCATCTACTTATTATTCTTGCAAC